CCCGGGCTGCCGAGGGGGCTGCAGGCACAGCCAAGGAAGGGGCTGCAAAGCCCTCTGCAGGACTGCTCCTGTCCAAGGAGTCTGTCAAATGTCCCCCACCGCCCGGCCCTCCCCCTCAGTCCTCACCTCTGGTGTCGTGGGCAGCCGCTGTCAAGGGCCCCCCGAGAGTGGGGCAGTGCCTACTGCATGCCCGAGGAGGTGGCACTTGTCCCTCCAGGAGCCTGTCCCCCTGCCCGGCCTGCAGCACTGCCTGGGTCCAGACACTGGTTAGTGCCAGGCTGTTAATTGGGTGGTGGGTTCCTCCATCTCCACCTTCCTCGCATGATCCAGCCCCATGCTCGTGCCTCTCTGGCAGCCATCTCCTGGCTGAGACAACCCACCTCGCTGCTGTTCTCTAGACACTCAAGGGGCCAAATTGCCTTGGACTACAGGCTGGTCACCCTCACCTCCATCCCTAGAAAGATGATGGGGCAGCTCAGTCTGGATGTCATCATTAAGCAAGTGGAGTAAAATAAGGTCAACAGGAGTAGTCAACATGGATTCGCCAAGGTGAAATCACGCTTGACCAATCTGATAGCTTTCTGTGATGGCATGGCCGGGTGGGTAGATGAGGGGAGAGCATTGAATGTTGTCTATCTTGACTTCAGCAAGGCCTTTGACACTGTTTCCCATAACCTCCTAGGGAAGCTCAGGAAGTGTGGACTAGATGAGTGGTCAGTGAGGTGCATTGACAACTGGCTGAATGACAGAGCTCAGAGGGTTGTCATCAGTGGTGCAGAGTCTTGTTGGAGGCCTGCAACTAGTGGGCTTCCCCAGCGGTCAGTACTCAGCCTTGTTCCACTTACTTGTCAATGACCTGTATGAAGGGACAGAGTGTACCCTCAGCAAGTTTGCTTATGACACAAAACTCGGAGGAGTGGTGGATACACTAGCAGGCTGTGTTGCTATTCAGTGAGACCTGGACAGGCTAGAGAGCTTGATGGAGAGGAACCTGATGAAGTTCAACCAGGGCAAGTGCAGGGTCCTGCACCTGAGGAGGAACAACACCATGCACGAGCACAGGCTTGGGGCTGACCTGCTGGAGTGCAGCTCTGTGGAGGGGGACCTGAGTTTCCTGGTGGATGACAAGTTAACCATGAGCCAGGGCTCCATTAAGAAGAGTGTGTCCAGCAGGTTGAGGGAGGTTCTCCTCCCCCTCTACTCTGCCCTAGTGAGGCCCTATCTGGAGTACTGTGCCCAGTTCTGGGAGAGAGTTCAGGGGAGGGGTACAAGGATGATGAGGGGACTGGAGCACTGCTCCTATGAGGAAAGGCTGAGGGAGCTGGGCTTGTTTAGCCTGAAGAAGAGAAAGCTGAGAGGGGATCTTA